ACTTATTATTAGTGGAAATCAATAGAAGAGGCTGGTCCAGGAACCGGCTTACACTACATTCCAAGGAATGAAGTATTCCCCCCTCGCCCATTCGCAGTAGCTGTTGGATACTGGTTTGCCCTCTTCCCCAAAGAGAACCATCCTGCCTCTCCCCGCTAGATTCACCAATCCACTGGCTGAAACTGATTTCGGATGATTCCGCAGCCAGCCAGCGAATCAAGAAATCAAGATCGACTCACAAGCCCTGAGGTTAACTTAAAGCCTTTCCATTACCCAGACAGAAAGATGGCCCAAAGGAAATTTTAAAGGCAGCCGTGGACAAGAGAGGGGGGAATACCTCCAGGTTATAGTTCATACTAGGAAGGGAGGAGCAGGTTATAGATTCCTAGAGTGACATTTCCCGAAGCGGGTTCTGTGGACACTCAGCTCAGGCCTGCTGAGGCTGAGGGGGGTGCAAGGTAAGAATGGAGTAAGGCACTGACTGTGCCGGTGACAAAAGGCCAGCCACCGAAACAGCACAGGAAGAAGTACTCGCCCTCCCTCTCCAACCACAGTCTCAGTGAACATTAGCACATTTTAAAGGTTCTGAGAAGTCCCGCAACAAAGAAGAATGTTTCACGATCGTGACTATACGACCACCGTGACTGGTAATTCACTTGCTTTAGAACTGCACTACCCAACACGGGAGTACCAGCTGTATGTGGTCACTGAGCACCTGAAGTAGCTAGTCCAAACTGAGATGGGCTGTAAGTGAAAATACATGCTGCATTCCAAAGGCTTAGTGCGAAAAAAAGGATGGAAAAATATCTCCACTTTTCATATTGAGTACATATTGAAATGACAGTATTTTAGATGTATGGAATTAAATAAAGCATATTATTAAAATTAACTGCATCTCTTTATACTTTGTAAATATATGGCTACTAGGACATTTAAAATCACATACATGGCTTATCTTATATTTCTACTGGGTAGCGCTCCTTCAGAAAGTGCTAAGCAATAGCACATGCTCAGAAACCTCAGATACACTGTATTATCGTGGCATTTGTGCCACATTTGTTTTCCCCCTGAAAGAGATGTATTACATCCCAGAACTGGGGATGGAATAAAAACAGACGAAAAAAGCATCTGGATATTCTGACCAAGATTGATGCGACAGCCCACCTAGCAATATGTAATTCCAAAGGTATCAAGGAATGAATATCTTTCCTTTTCTTGTCTATTATCCCTTAGATGTTTATGTAACAACAGAAAACTGTTTTGCTTTACCTTTCGCTCCAAGGCTGTATCTGTAAAGTTATTCCTAAAACATCACGCTAAAGATTGAATAAATCTGCAGTTTGGTATCCTTCAGGGACTGGCCACGAGGGTGCTGCTCCAGGCCCACTGGGCTGTGTATTTCTATAGCAGATGCTAGTATCTTTCACCCACTCCATGACTTTGGGCAAAACACTTCACCTCCTTCCTGTGGAAGAGCCAAGTATGTGAACGTCCACAATGCCTTCTGGAGAATGTGACCCAGACTGTGTAAGTCACCCCACCATTTACTAACCGAGTCAACTCATGAAACATCGCCAGAGGAGAACCAGTTGTGTGACTCAACACGTAGCCTGCTTTGTAGTTCAGCTTCCCTGCTTGTGAAACAGCAGTAACAACACCCATGTCACAGAGGAACCGGGTGATCAAACAAGGGAACGCTGAATGCAGAGCATGCTGCCCGGCACTGAGGAAACACAACTTCCCTCCAGACTCTGCTCCGTGCACTTCAGTCATCTTGGCCATAGAGGGAGAGGCTGGACCTAAAGCTCTGATCCCTTCTAGGCTTAAAATTAAGAGGCTATCTCTGGTCAGTTGTTAAAAGGCAAATAAGATTACTAAAAGCTCAGAAGACCTGTCAGAATAGGACAGGAAGTGGGCTTTCCCCTTTCTGGATTCTCTTCCTCAGAGGCAAAAGCATGCTGGGAGCACACACACGCAGGGGCCAGTGAAGGGTTTCCCAGGGTCCCGGGGAAGCCTCCCTGCTCTGGCAGTGACCGCCCTCCAGTGAAATGGCTCCACTGTAACGTGTCCTACCCTTTCACTATTGAGGCCCCATCCCTGTGCGCTGCCCACTCAGGTCCTCAAAATCGTTTGCTGTCATTGAAGACAGATGCCTCGGGCTTCCCTGGCGGCACAGTGGTTAAGAATCCGCCTGGCAATGCAGGGGACACGGGTTCGAGCCCTGGTCCGGGAAGATCCCACATGCCGTGGAGCAACTAAGCCCGTGTGCCGCAACTACTGAGCCTGCGCTCTAGAGCCCATGAGCCACAACTACTGAAGCCCGTGTGCCTAGAGCCCGTGATCCCCAACAAGAGAAGCCACAGCAACGAGAAGTCCACGCACCACAACAAAGAGTAGCCCCGCTCGCCGCAACTAGAGAACGCCCGTGCACAATGAAGACCCAACGCAGCCAAAAATAAATTTAAATTAAAAAAAAAATAAAGACAGACGCCTCTCCTTCCTCGGATACAGCATCTCAATTTATACAAAACATGATGCTTCTTCCTATCCTCAGACCAGAAGTCTCTCTCCTTTCTCCATTCTGTGCAATTTCTGTATGTCCAATCATTCTGTCAGCCCCACAGAGGAAACTCAAGGAAGCAATTCTGAGAGATCTGGATATATATATTATTCTCTTTTTTTTTTTCCTCTGAGTAGCTGATTCTACTGTTATGATGCCTAAGTAATGCCTAAAATTGCCTAAGTAATGCTAGAGGTGTATGATCTTGGATTAAATAAATCTGCAATAAACAGAGATACACCTGGAATAGTCAATTTCTTGGACGGGTTTCAATGGATCACAGGCAACAGGGAAACTGACTCGGTTAGTACAGTCATTGACTATTTAGGCCCAAGTGAGTCAGGAACATCAATATTTCTAAGTGTCTCTATAAATCAACAAGTCCCTTATGGAGTCATCTACCTTAGTATTCAGGGGTCAAAGGAGGTCAGAGGTCTGTATCACCCAGAACCCCAACCTGTGCACCAAGGTATGTAGAGGAGACACTGAACTTCTTGGCTCTCAGGACAGTTGGGCAGCCAGATGCCCTGGGTCCGCCCCCTTCAGGCAGCTAGCTGCCTCCATTCTCCAGGCCCCAAATCCTCTCCTAATAAAACCCCAATTTAGGGGCATCCATATCTGAAAGCTGAAGGCTACCAGACACTCTGAATGTAGAATCCATCCTCTAAGATCTTCCCCAAGCTTCCCAAACAAAGTGACCACTTTCTCCCCTGTACCCCAACACGACCCCTCTACACCCTCTCATAGCACAGATCCAACTGCATCACGTTTGTTCACATATTTCCCCCATCTACCTGGGTTCCTTGGACGCCCCAGAGCCTACCACATAATGCTCAATAACGTTAGCTGACAGGAATTCCCTGGCGGTCCAGTGGTTAGGACTTGGCACTTTCACTGCTGAGGGCCCGGGTTCAATCCCTGGTGGGGAACTAAGATCCCACAAGTCGTGCCGCCAAAAAACATTAAATTAAATTTTTTTAAAATAATAAAATGTTAGGGATTTCCCTGGTGGTGCAGTGGTTAAGAATCTGCCTGCCAATGCAGGGGACATGGGTTCGATCCCTGGTCCAGGAAGATCCCACATGTCGTGGAGCAGAGGAGCCCGTGAGCCACAACTACTGAGCCTGTGCTCTAGAGCCCGGGAGCCACAACCACTGAGCCCGTGTGCTGCAGCTACTGAAGTCTGTGTGCCTAGAGCCCAAGCTCCGCAACAAGAGAACCCACCGCAAGGAGAAGCCCGCGCACCACAATAAAGAGTAGCCCCCGCTCGTCGCAACTAGAGAAAGCCGCGCACAGCAACGAAGACCCAGAGCAGCCAAAAATAAATTCTAAAGAATAAGTAAATAAAAAATGTTAGCAGAAACAGGAATATCTACTGGACCAGAGCCGTGCTTCTCAAAACCAGGTGTCTGTGGGCTGGGAATATGCAAAGTCACAGGATAAACAAGGAGCAACTTCCTAGATATAAAGCTTAAAACATTTTCTTATAAAGTCCCTCTGAGAAGAGAAAGCAAAATCCACATGGAGTTAAAAAAAAGAAATAAAGTAGTAGTCTCCTGGCAGGCTGGCAGCTTCCAAATTCAGGGTCATTCCCCAGGCTGTCGGGTGTACAAGTTTCCTAATCTTTCTGCTAAAGAGGTCCCTGACGAAGCTGAGAAACCCAAGAAGCTCTGGACTCCGTATGTGCCCTACTTTTTGAGAGGCTGAAAGTACTTTGTCAGGGGGTCAAAGATCACCAATGCCACTGTCTAGGTGAAAAAAAAAACCAAACAAAACAAGCTAATCTTGCCCAAACGACTCAGAAAGTTAATACTGGGGACAGGACATCCCATGATTAAGCTTATAAGAAGACATTATACTTTCTAAAAGCCTAAAATAATGTATTACTAGTTTGTTTGGGCCTGAGACACTTTGATCACTTCCTGGAATGTAGACCCATCAAAGAAACCCTCATTTCACGCCTCTCCTCTTTTTCTCTGCTCCGCTGCCTTAGCAGTAAACTCTTAAGGGCTCTAGATAAACACGAAACAGAGCACCTCTCTTGGGCTCTTATGGAAGCCTCAGGTGCACACCTGAAGCCTCTTGAAGGTCAGCACTCCAGCTGGACCAGCGGATGTGCAAACACCATGAGCACCTGGCCTTGGGGAAGAGGGCTTTCCGCACTCCCGTTTCGGACCCCCCGCAGCGCAGAACTTTCTGAACTTTTCTCCACTACCAGCCTTCAAGGCCCTTGGCCAACCCTGTCCCAAAGCGGAAGCCGAGGGGCAGCGCAAGTACCTTGAGAGGGATTAAGCGGGATTGAGGGCACTTGCTACAAGGGTCTTCAGGGGCCGCAGAAGCACCCAGCAGGGCTCCGGGTCGGGAGGGGGCGGGGAAGAGGAGGGTGCGGACAGACACACAAACACAAGCACCCAGGCCCCGAGTACCGGGCCGCACTCACCTTGGCCGACGTCTCTCCGAACAGAGGTCTGTTGTCGAGTCCACTGGTGCCGTAGGTCCGGGTGGAAAAGTCCTCCATTTTAGGGTTTCTTCACTGTCCCGAAGCCACTCAAAGCCGAGCCAGCATTGCCTCCCGAAATCCCGGGTCTACGACTCGCGGCGCCGCCGCTCACCGAGCGCTCATAGCCGAAGCCCAGGGGGTCCTGAGTCCCGGCGGCGGGGATGGACGCTCAGACCCACGGGACGAGGCCGCTCCGCCCGAGCCCCGCTTCCCTCCTCATCTTGAACAGCTGCCGCAGGAAGTGAACAGAAACAAACGCAGCGTGGCCGCCCCGCCCGGCGGCTCCCGCTTCCCCAAATCTCAGCGACCGGGCCGCCGGGCTCGCGCCGCAGCTCACGGAGCAAATCGGCTTCCCCGGAGCTCCCCGCTTCCCCGCCCTCGCCACTCCTCTCCGTGACACGGTCACTTCTCGTGCTTTCTAAATGTTCTGGTGATCCCTTCACTATCAGAGCGGGGGGGAGTTTTCCTGGGAGAAGGTATTACCAGCCCTCTGCACCGCTCCACCCCTCTCGCCCCAGTGGCCAGCGGCCGCAGAAGTGAAGCCGCCGGAGCAGAGCCGAGCGCTCCGCGCGCCCCTCCCGCAGCGCTCTGGGATCAGGTCGCGGCGGCGCCGACCGCTCAGGTGTTACCAGTACGCGAGGGCCGGCGCGGCTCCCGCAACTCCCCTGGAGCTCTCGGGGCAGGAGAAGGGGATCCCGCCTCGGCCCGGCACGGGCCGGCCACCCTCCCAGAAGCGCCCCGCGCCCGCAGGCCAAACCTCGGCGTCCCCAGCCGCCCGCTCGCTGGGGAGTCCTGGTCGCACCAGGGAGCACGGGTCCCGGTCCACGCCGGCGCCGGGAGGCGGAGCAGAGACTCCGGGGGCGTCGCGGAGCGAAAGACTTTCCCGGCTGGCAGAGAGCGGGCGCGCGGGCCGAACGGTGCGCGACAGGTCCCCGGGCCGCTCCCCCGGCCGGGACCCGCGGCCGCCGTCGCAAACCGACTCGGCCCGCCCAGGCCACGTCACGGCCGAGGCCGCCAATCCCGCGTGCCGAGGCGCCGCATTGGCTGCGGAGCTTTATTTCTAGAGATGCCAGTTTATTCCCCGCTGGGCGGCCGATCTCCTCCGCTCCTTGTTTCCCAGCCTCTTAGTAATTAGCGCCTGCGCGACCCACGTGGGCTGAGCACATTTCGGAAGATAGCTTTGCAGTGGGCTGAAACTTCTTAAAAACAACCAGACTGCTTTAACCACCCCAGTCTTTGCACCACTAGCACGGAAAGGGGGTCGTTGATAAATATGATTTAGGGTTGTTTGAATGTTTGTCCTGTGATAGGGAACCTATGTCCTGGACAGTGACGGTCGGGAGGTAATACGTGCTTAGGTATGTTTTGGACTTGTCCACTCATCCTGCTGATGATGATGCTGATTAAGCTTATATATGCAGCCACAGAGAACAAACCCGTCGATATGTCAGCCTCTTCGGGTTTGAGAACGTGGAGAACCGGAGGTGGACAGGCCCCCTAGGCAACATAGCGTCACTCCACATTTGGGATCATTTATAAGTATTAGGAAACAAATGCAACCACGCTAGGTACCCTGGACACTACTGCTCCTACACTGAAGAAAGCTGTGACTACATTTGTTTGCAAGGAGAGCCCGTGTTGCAACATTGTAGCTCTGTGACACTTAGAATCCAAAGATTCCACGTGGTCCCTCTAGAGTTTGGGACAAAGGATTAGGACTAAGAGCTAAGACTAAGGACTAAGAGGGATGGGCTAAGAGCTACAGATGTGAAATTTGCAACACTGAGTAGAATTGGGCATGGTGCCTATCTGATCTACCAGTTATATATTTTATAAATCATCTTCTCTTTGTTCAGGACTTTTTGTTCTAAGAGGAATGCCACACAATCTTGCACCCAGTTCTATTAGAAGTTTAACCCAATAAATAATTTTAAGTCACTCACATGCTACCACAGTCATTCAACAAATACTTCTGAGAACCTGCTCTGTACCAGGCAACCACCAGACAGGGTAATACAGTAATCAAGAGACAGTCAAGGTTGAGGCTGGAGCGCAGATAAAGACACGTGATTACAGTGTAGAGAAAGGAGGAGGTACAGTGGAGTGACTAATAGCACAAACTTTGAGGTTGATCATATCTGCCCTCAAACCCTGATGCCACCATCTACAAGCAATGTGATCTTGGGAAAGTTATCTAACATCTAAACTCTCTTGAGCTCCTTCCTATGTAAAAAGTGAAGATAATAAAAAATGGAACTAGAATATCTAACTTCAACCGTTTCTGGTTTTTTTTTTTAATAATCTAATAGAGAATATTTCAGGCACCTGGCAAGTAAGTATCCAAATGGTAGTTGTCGTCATTGGTGACGAGTGCTGTGATCTGGACACTAGGGGTGCTGTGGAGATATATGGGAGGACACCCACCAGATTCGGGTGGCAGGGAAAGCTTCCTGGAGGAGCCTTCTAAATCAAGACCCCCAAAGAAAAGCATTTGTTAGCCAAGGTGAGGAGAAGAGTCAAGAAGACAGGCCAGGGCTTCCCTGGTGGCGCAGTGGTTGAGAGCCCGCCTGCCGATGCAGGGGACACGGGTTCGTGCCCCGGTCCGGGCAGATCCCACATGCCGCGGAGCGGCTGGGCCCGTGAGCCATGGCCGCTGAGCCTGCGCGTCCGGAGCCTGTGCTCCGCAACGGGCGAGAAGGTTGAGTCAGGAATAGTGACCTTGCTCAAGAGCTGTTTATTCTCGTCTCATCAATTTCCTGTGCCTCTGTTCCATTGCTTTTCCTAAAAGCCAGCTTCCTCATGACTACTACTCACCCCACACTATAACATACCAGTGGCTTTAGTTTGTTTTTGGTGCTAAACTCGGGGAAAATGGATCTTGTCACTCCAGTGCCCACCAGTGCTTAGTGGGCGTAGTCTCTATCTTTGAGTTCAGAGTCTCACGAGAAATTTCAATTGGCTGGGTCCAGATGATGGACTGATTTCAAGTTGCATGAGGTCTTCCACCCCGAACAGACAACAGGTGGGACCAAGGGGACCATCCCCTTGAGGAGGGTAGGATAGAAGATTTTTAAATAAAGAAGAGAGTATGTATGTATCAAGTCAATGATAGGATTATCCAGTGTCTTGCTGCTCATGGCCTGGGTCCTGGACCACAAGCATGGCATCACCTGGTAAATTCTTAGAAATGCAGAGCCACCCCAGATCTACTAAATCACAATCTGCATTTTAATAAGATCCCCAGGGGATTAGTACATCCATTGAAATGTGAAAAGCGCTTCTTTCATATGCCTCTAGTTTTACAAACTGGGCCACAGGCCACATAGATGACCCTCCCAATAACCATCATTTCTTATTTCTTGATCTGCATTGCGCTTCAGCCACTCATTCCAATGCAAATTCTGGACTTTGGCAGCACCCATGTTTGAAATAAGCCCAGATACACCATTTAGTAAGCCTTCTCCTCCAATCCTTTTAAATCTTTCACTCCTGGTCAATATACCAGTCCTTCGGTCACTTTAGTGTCTCTGATCCTTTGGTCTCTTGACTTTTTCTCAGTGGATCGACTCTCCCACTTTCACTTTCTTCCAGCTTAGATTCTGTGTTCTATCGCTGCAATTGATCTTTCGATATCTTCAGTTCCCTTGTCCCATTTATTTTACCAAACCTGGGCAGAAAGTCCCCTGAGATATTAATCCTTCTGCTTTCTGAACACCTGTGGCCAGATGTCTAGCACAGCTGGAGGGGAAAAAAATCATAAATGCCCCTAATTAGAGTAATTTTAGATTTGAGGCAGTCAACCTCAGCTGTGCCCTTAGAACGATCTGGAAGTCCTGTGTTGCCTGGACAACTCTCTTTTGTGTTGTCTACTCTCCCTGACCCTCAGCAGATGACTCAGATGCCTACTTCACAAGGAAGAAACCAAAGCCATCCCACGAGAATTCCCTCAACTTCCCAGCAAACCTACACGTTCACCTCTGTCCACCCTCTTCTACTCCTCCTTGCGTCCAATGAGAATAGAAGAGATGCCTGTCTTTCTCTCGTGTTTTACATCCCATTCCATTCCACAGTCATAGGGGTCTCACTGTTAGGATTATATTTTTTCTGTGAAAAGCATTTAAACATGCTCAGTTTCAATCGTGTTAAAACAAACAAGCAAAAACCTTGCATGAAGCCTGTGTCTCCCTCTGGCTACCACACTTCTCCACGCCCTCCTGGAATTCTTGGTTGCCTTGGTAGCCGTCTTACCCCTCCCCGTCTCACTTGATAGCAAAGCCTACCTCTCATTGTAAAGGGAAAGAACGCCAGATGTTCACTTGTAGCTGGAGGAGGGGAATGTGAGTTTTAGGGCCAGTGATTCATTAGGGCAAATCTGCTGGGGGCTTTTAGGAAGGTTTCCTCCCTGATAAAAGGAGAGAGGCATGTGAAGAGAGCTATCCCTCTAGACAGTGTCACGTGATGATGTATTTAGAGACGCTTCTACCGTGTTATGACCATGAAGGGCGGCCAAAAGTATCCCAGAGAAACCAACTAGAATTTTAACTGTGAACCGCCCACCTCTGGGCTTCTTATATGTGGCGGATGTGTGTGTGTGTGTGTGTGTGTGTGTGTGTGTGTGTGTGTTGAATGGGAGTGTCTCTATTGTCTAAGTCATTTTTGTTTGGGTATTCCCATGCTCACAGCCGAAAGCGTACTGACACATTTTTAAAGCCAAACTTTCTGTGAAAAGCTCCATAGAGATTGTATCCACTTCCTTCCCTCCTGCCTTTGCCTCAATCACTGAAATCTGGTGTAGCAGCACTACCTCCCCGGTGTTCTTTCATGAAGGTTCCCATGGGGACTTTATTGCTGAATCCACTGGACCCTTTTCAGGCCTCCTATCTGGCCTCTCGGCAGCACTTTGCATTTTAAAATTCTGGAAATTGCCTTTACTATAGCTCTTCTGCTCTTCCTCTGCACGTCTCTTAAATATTATCTCCCAGGGCTTTGTCCTTCACCTTTTTCTCTTCTCACTACATGTTTTGCAAGGGCCAGTTCACACATATCCATGGCTTCAATTTATATCTCTATGCTAATGACACACAAGCCTATACGAATGGACTTAGGCAATTTGTCAGGAAATAGATAATTTATGAAGAAAGCCACTTTTGAAGTTAAATAACTCCTTCATTTCAGGTATGATTTAACCATGTTTCTCCTCTTTCATTGTCTCTACAGTAAAGCTCTCCTAAAGAGCAGTGCCTC